GCACTGCCTCTGGAACCGCTGTCTGCAGAGCGCTGTTTGAGACCGCGGGTAAAGGTTTGAAAGGGACGATCGAGGGGAAGGAGTGTCTCACAGCACCTGCCGCGTGCGAGAGGAACCCGCATCGGAAGGACCCGGACGCCGCACGTTCCTCACCCTGCCCGGAGCCCCCCGAGGGTCCCGGAGCTCGTCTCGCCCGGGGTGCGGTGGGACGGGATGGGGCACGGGCACCGCACGACACCGCACAGGGGCCTCTCACCGGGACCGATGCCGCTCAGTCTGAGGATCTGCCCTCGAGCACCAGCGCCGCCGGAGCCCCCCGGGGCGGATCCGCCCGGGATGGCGTGGGAAGCCGCGGGGATCAGGGACTCCAGCGCGGGGCAGCTCCGATAAGTCCCCGATGACCCAGATCTCGGTCGGCGCGGCCGCGGTTGAACGCACCGAGAGCCCGAACCCCCCCGACCGGCGGCGGGCACGGCTGGGGCGCAGGGGGGAGGCACAAGCGGGGTCCCGGGGACCGCCCGTCCCGCTCCCGGAGCCGCTCCCGGAGCTCCCGGCCAGCCGTACCTGTGCAGAGGGACACGGCGGCTCCGAGCAGCGGCAGCGCCGCCCGCAGCGCGGGGCCGGGCGGGTCCCGCATGGCCGCGGGAGCCGCGTCCTCCTCCTCCTCCTCCTCCTCGTCGTCGTCCTCCTCCTCCCCCGCCGGAGCCGCTCCCGGGCCCGCCGGGCCCCGCCGCCCGCGGCTTTAGCGGCTCCAGCGGGGAGGGGCCCGGCCCGGCCCCGCCCGGACCCCCCGCCCCGCTCCGGCCCCCCCACCCCGCCGGTTCGAGGGTGCGGACGCGGCTCTGCCGCCCCCCGGCACCGACGGCGGCGGGACGGGCGGGGGGTCCCGGCCGGGAGGGGGTCCCGGGGCAGCCCCGGGCCGTGCCGAGCCCCCGCCCCGCTCCGCCGCCCCCCGGGAGCCCCGAGCGAGCCCTCGGGACCGGCTCAGAGCTCGGGCTCCGCAGCCTCGGGGGTTCTGCCCGCAGGGCACGGAAAACCGGCCCACAACGATGACGACTTTTAATCGCTGGGTGGGGGCTTGCCAAAACCCCGGCAGTAGCTTTTGGCATCTGCCCCGGGGCTGCGCCGAAACCCCCGCGAACAGCAACGTGCTGAACTGTTTGCAGCGTTTCTACAATATCTTGAACGGTTTTAAACTGAGAGAGATTTAGATTATTTGTTAGGAAGAAAGGACCTGGCACAGGCTGCCCAGAGAAGCTGTGGCTGCCCCTGGATCCCTGGAAGTGTCCAAGGCCAGGTTGGACGGGACTTGGAGCAACCTGGGCTGGTGGAAGGTGTCCCTGCCCATGGCAGGAGTGGCACTGGATGGGCTTTCAGGTCCTTTCCATCCCAAACCGTTCTGGGATTCTGTAATTACTCCTTCACAAGCAAAATTCATCTGACTAAACGCTTTTTGAAAGAAAACAAATTACCCTCCACCATGGTAGGGACACAGCAGAGGTGAAACCCAAGTAGTCTGGGATTAAGTTGCTGTTAAACAGCATCAAAAAAAGCTGCTCTTGTACAACCTTTTCTCCTTTTTTTTTTTTTTTAATCCAAACACATCAAGGGAAGGCATTCAGGACTTCCACATCCCTCCACCCTCAGTTAAATGTGGTGGTAATTACAACATCTTAGTGAAGTCCAACGTGACTATTTCATAGCAGTCTCTGTTCTATTGGACTGAAACACAGCACAGCAGCCTATTGCACACCTCACTGTTAGGAAATACCTGCCAAGATCTAGTAAAAAATACAAAGGTTTGGGTGTCAGGGCAATAAAACAACAGAGGATAAATTTGCAGCTCCTTCCCTTCTGAAAGCCCGGAGCCGGTAACTGCTCCCTGCCCACGTAGCTGTACCTGCTCAGCCATCCATTACTTGCCAAGTACCTGTTAAGCTGCATATTGCTCGTCTGGAGATCCCAGCTGGCTCTGGGAACACCAGGAGAGAACATTGGATCCTCAGCAGCACCCAGGCACTGCTCATGCTGCTGACAGATCAGACAAACACAGCTCTGCTCCTGCAGGTCCGTGTTTTCTTCCTTTCCTTCTGACTTTCTAATAATTCACTTCATTTGCTCAGTGCTACTAGAAAATGTAAACATAACTCATTCAGACTCACTTCTGGTTGACAGCATGGAATTATCTTTCTTTTCTGGGTGAAGGAAGACAAGAATTATGTAATTAAAGTGGTTAAGGTTGTTCTTTAGTGCAAGAAAAATGTATAGAACACATGTGCTCATCCTTTGCAGAAGTGATGAAAACAGTATCTCCTGCACTTGTCAAGAAGGAGAATCAAAGTTTATAGAAAGAAAAAAAAATATATTAATCAAAGCTTCTAGAAAGAAGTGGCTCAGGGATTTGGGGTTGCAAGGTGGTGTGAATGAGGCTTAGTCATTGTGTAGTGCCAGTTTTTAAATCCAGCCCACTTATACCCTTGTTTGCAATATTCCCTTTTTATTTGGGCTGTGAGGAATCTCCTCTGAGATGGAGCACAACACGATCCTGCCCTGCTACTCCAGACACTCCAGACACTCGTCCTGCTGTGGCAACAAATGGTTCAGCACTAAAAGACAGGTTTAAACACCAGCTAAGCACCAGTTTGGAGATACAAACCTATTCTACTTTTTTATATGTTCCTGGTGGAGTAACGGACCGATGGACTGGGTGATTGGAGACTTGTGAAGAGCAATGTTGCAGACACTGGCATGGCAAAGCTGGAGCATTTTATTTGGGACCTCACTACACATCTGTAGGAAACTGTAAGGCTGTTGCCCCAGATCAGTCCACATCACTGAGAATACAGACACTGGCACGTGTTCAGATTAAATCCAGGACAATGTTCTCCATTTCCCCTCTCATGCCCACGTGCACTGTGAGGGGAAAGCACTGCAGCAGAGCAGGGATCACCTTGCTCTGCCCCATCTCTGGGGTCAGGTACTTTCTCTCACACATGGCTGTGCTGCTGATGGTACCCAGCTCAAACAAGGCCTCTTTGCATGATTTAATGCTGATAATGCTGCACGTCCTCAAAACACACCACAGAGCTTTTGTTTCCCTATGGGCCTTGACAAACTAATTATCTGGGTTCTTCATATGCTGTTACATTCTGCATTATGAGACACCTGTGGAATCTGGGACAAAGCACTTCAAATTGCTGGGTTTAACCTTCTTTCAACAGGTTTGGTGTAAATAAATGGCATTTTTTGAGTGTCATTGTTGCAGAACAAGCATCTGCTGACATTTTAAACTGTTTGAAACTGAGTTTAAAACCAATTGAAAACCCCACAGAACCCATTCAGCTACTCCCAGCTCACTGTGCCTGCAGAGCACTCAGGGACCAGCAGGTTTGGGTCCCAGTTAACCATCATCACCGAGCATTCACCCTGTGCCAGATCTTCCTCAGGCCTTTGACACACCAAACACCAGCCAAAACCAAAAGAACAAAACAAGGGATGGAGTTCAAAAAAGCCCACCACACTTTGCTGAGAGGCCAGCGTGCTCCCCAGTTAGCTGCTGGCATGGCGTGGTTCATGGCAGGACACAAACAGCCTGTCTTGGGGATTTAAGAGTCTTTGGAAATGGGCAACACCAGGGAAACTTGTGCCAACTGGAAGCACTTCTAGGGCTGGCCAAAAGCCAGGAATTTTGTTTTGTAATTTATTTTGCTCCACTTCAGGGCAAAACCAAGACCTACTGAAATTTTGTGCAAGCAAAACAAAAGGGAATCCACAGATAGCCCAGAAGAGGCAGCAGGTCAGCAGTTACCCCTCCCCTTGGTCCTCCTCATCCCCTCTGCATCAGTGTCTCGTCTTGCTGCCTTGCACGCCCTCTGTCCCACTCTGCTCATCCAGAAATGCTATGAAACCTTCCAAAAACTGCCATCAGATTGATACATTCCTGCAAAACCATTCTATTGTCGATTAGAAAAAGAGTTGAAAAACTCCCAAACTGTTCCAAGAACCATTTTATAATTCTTTAGTCACACCCATCCCCAAAATGCTGTTTTCTACAGCTCTGAAATCTCGTACACAGGAGCCCATTAATCTGCTGAAAAGCTCACATTAATCTGAGTGGGGGCCTTTTTGATGAGGAGGGTAATAATGGAGCTCCTTGCAATATTTTAGCATTATTCAGGCATAAGAAGTGTCCAAAGAGTGAGCATTAGTGTAATTGAAAAATTAATTCATTATGGAATGGTTTGGGTTGGAAGGGACCTTGAAGCTCATCTCTCCATGGGCAGGGACACCTTCCACTATCCCAGATGGCTCCAAGCCCCATCCAACCTGCCCTTGGACACTTCCAGGGGGGGGGGGTCACTTCCACCTAAGCCCAGCCCAACACAATTCCAATGGGGAGCTCCTGGTGGCCCAGTTTGGAACCATCTCCCGGGGGAGTGAGAGAAGGTTTGCCAGGAACAGCAGCAGGGACACTGAACTATCTGCTGGTAACAGCTGGAAAGGACAAAGGAAAAAAGTCAGAGTGAAGGAGAGGGCCAGAGCCCTTTCCCTCAAGGCTTAAATTGACTTCAAGATCCTCATAAAACAGAGAAGAACACACCGAGAACATGGAATTCTGTGAAGTTTCTCAGGCAAATATTTCAAAAAAGTGTGTGCAGGGAAGACACAATTTCAGCCTCTCTCAGTGAGCAGTTGGAAACAAATCCCTTTCTCTTTGTTTACTGCTCTCAGTGCTCTTCCTCCCAGTGAAGAGAGGCAGCCACGTGCTTTCAATTCACGCAGAATCTCATTACAAGAGACTTGACAGAGTAAATCTGCCTCAGGTTGCAGCGTGTTTCCAGGGTAAGCTGAAGCAGAAGCCTGTGACCTCTGGCCACAGCCTCGATCCCCAGCCATGCCCACGGTCAGTGCCTGGCAGGGAACAGCACTGCCCTGGCCCTTGGG